TCTCCCTCCTCTCTCCTCCTCTCCCTCCTATTCCTCCTCACCCTCCTCCTCTTTTCCTCCTCACCCTCCTCCTCCTCCTCCTCCTCCTCCTCCTCCTCCTCCTCCTCCTCCTCCTCCTCCTCCTCCTCCTCTCAAGCAACTGGGGCACAAGTTTTCTGGGCCTGCCTCTGTGCCTTCCCGCGGCGCTTGAGGTTTCGTCTCCCCTCGGGAAACGACTGAATCAGAGGCAATCGCAATCACTCACAGCCCTCGGCGCCCGCCATGGCGCCTCTCGCTCGTCGTGCTGGCTGGTCTGCTGGCACTCCGCCATGGCGTGACGGGGGCTCTGTCGGCTACTGGAAGTGCGGGCACTGCGGCTGCGGCAAGAACCTTGGCCACCACTGGTTCTGCAAGCAGTGCCACGGCAAGCGGAAGGAGGTCGAAGCAGCCGGCCCGCCCCAGCCCCGTGGAGCCTGGGCAGGAGACTGGCAGCGCACGACATGGCAGGAGAAGCCGCTCATGGAAGGTCTCCCTGTCGGCCTCCAGGGGGGTGCGGCCCCTCCGCCTGTTGCTGGGGATCAGGACGAGCTCCCGGTTGACGAAGTGGTGCAGCTCATCAGCCCCCATCGGAAGATGGGCAACGAGGCATCGGCAGCGGCCCTTCAGCTCAGGCTCGAGAAGCGACGTGCTGGTGACCCTCCTGTTCCCCATGCAGGCCCAGGCCAACCAAGTGGATCGTCACATCAAGCAGTTGGAAAAGAAGCTCCAGCACGGTCTGGATCAGTATACTAAGTGGTCAAACTGGCTCGCCGACAAGAAGGAGTCCATTGGTGAGGTGCGGCGCGAGCTGGCGGGCGAGATGCAGAAGTACCAGGGCCTGGTGGATGAGCTTCGGGCCCAAGTCTGTCCAGCGCCCGCCACGCCACAGAAGCCTCGCCTCGCCCTCCAGGACTTCCTGGAGGAGTCCAGCGGCTTCCTGGACACGGGCAGCGTCGGGGAGGTCTTCGGGGTGGACGGCTCAGTCTATGAGGTTCCGGAGTCCGACACCCGGGAGTTCGAGAAGAGGACCACGCAGCTCAGGGAGTCGATACAGAAGGCCGCTCGCCAGCTCTCTGGCGAGGCCCAACGGCGCTTCAAGAAGCTCAAGGGGGATCACGCCAAGCACATCCAGAGCATGGGTAAGAAGCGCAAGGTCGGTACGTCAGGTGAAGCTGCGGCGGCGTCACCTGATGTTTCTGGGGAGTCCAAGGGCGAGGCCCAAGATCATGCTGGAGACGGTGGAGGTGATTCTTCGAGTGGAGCGGCGGCTTCATCTTCGGGGGCTACGGCTGGGTCATCGTCGGCGGCACAGTTGCTCGCCAGCGCGGACAAGCTCATCGGGCCCCTGTCGGATCCCCCCCCTGCCAGCGCGTAGCCGACAGGGGGGACTTCATGAACACGTTCTTTCGCGCGGCAGCAGTGCCGCTACTCCACCATCTGGGTCGACTGGGTCCTCCTGGTCATCGACGGTGGCTTCTGGTTCACCCTGTGAGGGCCAGCACGGAGGGTGCTCGCCCACATTTCTGTTCGAGCGGCTCTTGAGAGAGCCAAGAAGTTTTTTTAGGCTGCCCACCGAGGGCGGTACGCCTTCGGACCCATCCAACTTTTTGCCAATGCCCCCCTGCCCTGGTTGCCCGTTTCAGCTGCCGATCGAAACGGTGAATCGCACGAGTTGGCCTTCCCTCGAGTCTTGGCTTGTAACCACGGCTTCCCGCATCGTACCCGTGCAAGAACACCACCTCGCATCGAACGACGACGTCGCCAAGGCAGGACAATGGGCGCTAGAGAGGGGATGGAAGGCTCGGCTCAACCCTGCGACCCGCACTTCGGCGGGAGACACCTCTGGCGGTGTCGCGACTTTGGTTCGATCATCCCTGGGTTTCCACGATCCCGAGTTCGATCAGAAGGGGGATGCAACAATGAATACCTCCTCTACGCGCCACGTGGCAGCGAAAGGGGGAAGAGCCAGCCCTTCCTTCTCCCACCATCCTCCTCCTCCTCCTCCTCCTCCTCCTCCTCCTCCTCCTCCTCCTCCTCCCTCCTCGCCTGTCCTCCCTCCTCGCTGCTCTCGTCCCTCCCCTCCTCCGCCTCCTCCCCCTCCTTCCCCTCCACCTCCTCCTCCGCGCCCTCCTCCCTGGCCTACTGGCCCACCCTCCTCCCAGAACCTGAGCCCGAGCCGGATGGCTTCTCTCTGCTTCCAGGCGCCCAGTGGCTCCACCGCCTGGCCCTCCCGGCCTGCGCCCCCCGGGCAACAGAAAAGCATCGGGTGGGCCCCGCCCGTTTTTTTCGGCTCCGGCGGTTGCTCCCGGAGCCCCCGTCGAGCTTCTGACCCCCCCCCCCACGATATTTCTCGGGGGGGGGCTCCGCTCGGGAGCTCCCGAACGAAGCGAGCCCCCACCGCCTCCTCGGAAGTCGTGGTGGGAGTCGGGTCCACACGCGGCAACCGACCGAATCCACCAACCAATGCAGTCGACCCAGCCACGCATGCAGGCCATCCGAGCGGGGGGGGGGAGGGGGGGGGGCGGCGGCGGCAGAGCAGAGGGAGGGCGGCGCCCTTCGGACGATGCCGCTCATTTGCTGATGCCCGGTGGGCGGCAGGGAAAGCCCATGGGGAAACATCCGAGCCACTTCCGATCCCCAGCCGGTGGTGAAGGAGGAGGAGACGACGACGACGACGACGACGACGACGACGACGACGACGACGACGACGACGACGACGACGACGACGACGACGACGACGGCGGCGACAGCGACGACGACGGCGGCGGCGACGACGACGACGACGACGGCGCCAAGCGCGGGCGTCGCCGCGCCGATGGTCCCGGACGCGCCCGAGCGGACGACGCCGACGCCGCGGCACAACCCTGCGGCAGGCCCTGCGCCCCGCGCCCCCGCAGACGGAGCCAGCACCGCGGCAGGCCCCACGCGCAGGGACCGCCGCGCTCCAGGCAGAGGTTGCCCTGGTGGCCGAGGCGCCCTCTCCAAGACGCCAGGCCGCGCGTCGGCAACAAGCGGCGCGGCGACATCGGCGCGGCGACGTGTGAGCGACGATCGAGAACGGGTCTTACACGAGATGGGCACAACGACCTTACGCGGTGGCTTACGCGGGCCGCCGGCGCGGAGCGCTACTGTGGAGACGAGGGCGCTCACGCGCGACCTTACGCCGGCAGCTTGCGCGCCAATGTCGACGCAGACGACTCCGCCTTTTTCATCGCCCATGCGCATTTTGCCAGCACGCACCTCTTGTCAGTTGCAACGCCGCCTCCTCAACGCCAGCCTGGACATAATGGGTACCTATAAATTGTCGTGCGCGCTCCTCTGGGGCCGTGCTACGCGAATCGAGCGCAGGCCATGAATTCGGCTCCTGGCGTGGCCGCGCCATGCCGCATCGAATTTGAGGCACACGGGGAGCACCAGCTGACCACTCCGCCGATATCCTGGGCGCGCCGATCCTGGGGTCAGGACCAGTCACCGCGCCCAATTGGCCTTGGGCCACGATGAGAGGCGTCCAAGAGGGGGCCATCCAAGAGCGGGGGGGGGCGCAAATCACGGCCGGCGTCACGTGCGCGGCCCAGGGGGGGGGGCTGGGACGTCTTGAAGGTGAGAGGAGGCGCCATGAAATCTGGGGAGATAACGTCCCAGACATGCGACGTCCCGATTTTTTCAGGACAGCGTCCCTGGAAGTCCCGACCCTTTTCCCGGGACCGGTTTTTCGTCCTGAGTCGTTTTTTGACGGTCTCGAGGCCCGGCGAAGGCCCCCGAAGGCCGAAACTAGCCAAAAACCTCCCGTCCTGATTGCCTCACGACGCGGTCATGTCTGGGATGGCCCCCGCCATGAGATCCCCCCGCCCCCTGGCCATCACCGCCCGCTTGGCCGCCCCCGGCACGAGGGCGTGCAGGCACCGATCCTGTGCCCAGGGCGGGCACCGCCGGCATCGGTGAGCTGGTCCGTCCGCGTCCCCCCCGGGGAGGAGGAAGGGAGCGCGGAGGCGGAGCAGGACACGGGCCCGGCAGGGGACGGGCGCCAAGACGGCAGTGAGGAAGACGAGGGTGGTTAAGTTCGGCGGCGAGCGAGGGGGGAAGTCCCCCGGCCCTCTCAGAAGGCTCGGAAGTCCCCCGGCCTTCTGTGAAGTCTTCCGAGCCTTCCCCGGAGACACAAAAGCACTTCTCAGAAGGCGCGAGGGCTTCTGAGAGGTCCCACCGTCTTTCCGAAAAAGGCCCCCTCCCCTTCTCGCTTCCCCCCTCGCTCGCCGCCGATAATTGGGCGGCGCATGAAAACGGCGCCATGACTGTGCGGTCAGCCCACGTGCCCTCAAATGCGTGGCACCTGCCATCCTACAGGCGGCAACCGCTTCAGTTGCCTGCTGGCAGGCCGGAAATGTCCCTTCCCTTGCTTTCACCTCCGCCCGGCCAGGACGGCGCGACCAGGCTGCAGGCACAACCAGCGGCACAAACTTACAGTAGGGTCGTTGGCCGCAGGAATCCCAAATAAGGAACGAGGCCCCTTTCTCCCACAAGATAAACTTCGACTTCCCATCCAAAACCTGAGGATAACGTGATCAGGCTGCCAAAAACCTATGGAACACTGAGCCCCTCCCCAACGAGAAGGGTTCCGGGTTCCTTCTTCAGCGCCCCGACTGTAAATGGGACGCCTAGAGACATACTAGTACTATATGTCCCCCTTGGAGGCGCGCGTCCGACCCGAACAAGTAATATACCCATCTTGTACTAGATCGTTTCCCGAGCGGCGTGGCCAGAAAGCGCCAGCCACGACGAATATCCTAGAAGATTTCTCGGTGTGCGCTGGATTGCATGGCGGGGTACACAGCACGAACGAAGACGATGAGGTCGAATTACGAGAGACTGAGCGCGGGTGAGTCTGAGCGCGAGTGAGTCTGAGTGTGCATGAGTCTGCGCGCGAGTGAGTAGACTTGCACGTATGCGAGCATGGCCACGCTTGGCGTATGTATATATATATATATATTATGTATACAAATGTGTGTTTATGTACACACGTATATATATACACATATATATATATATATATATATAGATCGAGATATAAGCATGTTGGGGTGACGCCGAGCCAACCCGCGGTGGTCGGCGAGGATGTCTTGGACCGGCGCCGTGTGCCCCCTTTCCCGTCGCGCGAGGCTCGGGGCCCCGTGCACGGGGGGGCACCTGAGCGATCAAGACGCTGGTGACCTACAGGACCACTTTCTTCTCCTCCTCTCCTCCTCCTCCTCCTCCTCTTCCTCCCCTCCTCCTCCTCCTCCTCCTCCTCCTCCTCCTCCTCCTCCTCCCCCTCCCCCTCCTCCTCTCTCCTCCTCCTCCTCCTCCTCTCCTCCTCCTCCTCCTCCTCCTCCTCCTCCTCCTCCTCCTCCTCCTCCTAGGCCACCCCAACCCAACCCGAAGACCCGAAGTTCGGGCTGGGGGGGGGCTCACGGGCTTCGTACGTATTTTCCCACACTAGAGCTGGAGGCCCCATCGGGGCCTTCGGGCTGGGCTGGGGCGGTATGGCGGGCGGTGAGATGGCACGCCGAAGAACGCTGCGGCCGTTGTCGGGGCTGGACCTGCCCGCTGCTGTTCGTTGTTTTGCTTGCTGTTCGCTTTTCGGGGGGAACGGCAGGGGGCGATAGCAAAGACACGTTTTCTGGGGAATCGAGGATGTTTTTTCTCACATTTTCTGGGGAATCGACGATCACTTGCGTCTGTGTGTTTTTTCCCCTCCTGACCTTTTCGGGGGGAACGAAAGGGGGTGATAGCAAAGACACGTTTTCTGGGGAATCGACGATGTTTTTTTTTCAAATTTTCAGGGGGATCGACGATCACTTGCGTCTGTGTGTGTTTTTTCCCCTCCTGACCTTGTCGGGGGGAACGAGAGGGGGTGATAGCAAAGGGTACTTTAATAGTAGAAACAATTGGTTTTCAACATGTGTGGTTTTTAGAAGCTCTGCGTGGCGACGCCCCCGTCGCCACGCGTGCCCTCTGCGTGCCTGCGGGGGCGCCGCCACGTAGAAGTACTGGAGACCGAGCATTTGGGGCGTCGCTACGCACACCCTCTGCGTTGCTGCGACCATTTGTTAAAACCCTAAAACCAATTAAATTCACTAATGTAGTAGGGCCGATAATCAGCGCACGTAGCTGGTTTTCCCAGCGCCCCCCG